GCCCCATGTTTCCAGTCCCTGTTCACCTCCATGGTCTGTGTGTCCCCATGTGCGACCACTTCACTGTGCTGTGTCCCAGCTACTCTTGGATTCATGAGCTTCCGACCGATTCTTCTACAAAAGCGTCCTGATCTTTATGCTGGAATCATGGTCTCTTCTCTGAGACATTAATTGAATTTCTCTTTGTGTCTGGATTGGTTTGAGGACAGCTGATCCTTCTGGGACAGGCGTCTTCTTGCTGGTGACTGTGGTCCATTTATCTGTACCTTTCCATGGACTTTACTATCTGTCAATACACTTTGGTAACTTTTCACAAAGTTGGCCTTATAATACTGTGTTGTCATAACTGTAGTTGAGGATGACTATCAATTTTTATTACAGCTAAGGACAAATCTGAGAAAATATTTGCACTAGCATTTGTGAAGCTGATGAGATACGATGGGACCACACTGAGAGACGGAGAACATGACCTTATAGTCTACAAGGTATGTGCATCACCAGCGCGACACCAGACACCTGTCAGATCCGTCCTTTATAGGTTGCTTGAGCCATTCGTTTTTCTTCACCGTGACAAAAATAATTGAGCAAAACAAATAAAGGACAGATTTATTTTGGTTCATGGTCTCAGTGTTTCCATCCTTCACAGTGTGTGTGTGTGTGTGTGTGTGTGTGTGTGAGTGTGTGTGTGTGTGTGACAGAGCTGCTCACATCATGGTGGCCAGGAAGCAGAGAGCAAAGACTGAGCCAGCAGTCTCTCCATCTTTCCCTTTTATTCCACCACAGCCTCTGGTCTTTGGGAACTACAGGCTTTCAGGGTGTATATCGCCTTGCTTAGTTAATTCTCCATGGAAACATCCTCACAGACATATGTAGAGGTATGCCTAACCAGTCTCCTAGAGCCCTTCACTCCAATCCATGATCAGGATGAACCTGCACAGCTGACCCTTCCCACCCTGGGGAGAAAGCTGCAATGTAGCATCTGGCTACGTTTAATTATGCAAATGCCCAGTTGTGATGACCAGCCCTTTTGCTGTTTCTAATGAGAGAAGATGACAGGGAGTCCCACATTTAGTGCTATAGAAAAAGACGGGATGTGAATTCATCTATAGGAAGAGGGAGCATTATTTACATTGGAACCCAGTGTAAAAAACAGGTGTGGTGTTCGAAAGCGATAAGCCTATCAAAAGACAGAAAGATGGAGTGTTGGCATTCCTCAGTGCCATCTGATGTACTGTACAACCAAACCCACAGGCCGAAGCCAAGAAGCTGGAAGACGCAGCCACCTACCTAAGCCTTCCGTCCACGAAGGCAGAATTGGAGGAGAAGGGCCACTCGGCCACCGGCAAGGGCATGCAGAGTCTCGGGAACTGTACCATCAGCAAAGATTCCTTCCAGATCTCCACGCTGGTGTGCTCCACCAAACTGACGCAGAACGGTGAGTCTGGGGGTGGGCACACGCTGGTCTAAGAACCCCCCTGCCTTGCACACTCACTTCTTTTCGGCTGCTGGCTGAGTGGAGGAGTTTCCTGTAGGTGCATGTAGGTCACTCACTTCATCCCTCCGTTTATTACCCACGTGGATATCGATGCACTAGGAAAGGGGGCGGCATCGTAGTTCTGAAGGGACGATTCTATTTTGGTCTGAGGACTAAGTCTGCAGGGAGATAAAACAATTGACTTTCTTTCCTTTTTTTTCATTTAAACATTTGGTTGATGTGGTGTGGTGGGGGACAGACTAGAGACAGGAGACAACTTGCATGAGTTGTTTCCTCCTTCCACCTTGTGGGACTGAGCTCAGGCCATCAGACTTGGTGGCAAGCACCTTTACCTGCTCAGCCATCTTGCCAACTCTGGACTGTCTGAGATGCTTTTTGGTGGAAGGAAAGTGGCAGGAAATGAGGGAAGGCGGACGCAATTCGAAGTCACATCAGAGACTGGGACTGAGCAGAGACCCCGTGTTGACCCTGGAAATGGCCTTGAGCCAAGGTCCTCGGAGCTTTTCTTTCCGCTCAGTCCCCTGGTGAGTTGTGTCTGATTCTGGAGCTTTCTGAGCATCACAAGTGTGAGGCCTCTCCTCTTTGAGTCTCCCCTGTCCTGGCTTCTCCTTGAGGTAGCTGCTAGTTATCTTTCTTTTGAAAAGTTGATCTGCCTGACACATTCTAGTCCTTGTGTGGTGAGATAAGGGTTCCTTGTTGATGCATGCACACAAAGCCCAGTCTAATGTGGCAGGTCACTCGTCAGCTGGCGCCTCTTGTCCTTGGGCTGGCCCAGTTCATTTCCCATCACTTGCAGCCTCCTCAGCGACATGGCAGTCTGATGAGGTACCTTCTTATTTAGAGCACACCAGTGCTCTTGCCATTACTGTGTCTGAAGGAGACTCTTTGCACAAATCCCTCATTTAAAACCTGCATCCCCCTAATGTGACCGTATCACAGCTGTGCGGGGAGACTTTATGCTCTCTTGAAACTGAGCTTGAAAATTCAATTTTTTCCCTCTTAACTGCCCGATATGGATCGTGATTATTACTGTCTGTCACTAACAGGAATCAGGTCTCTGGGTTGCCTGTCAGTCATGGCTGGAGTTTTGGATTTGCTGAGAGGCAAGACTCTTTTGGGCTTTGATAGGATAAACCTAGGACAGACTTAACCCTGTCACTTGGGAGACTGGACTCTAGAGGGAGAAGTGTTGGTGTCCTGAGGGTTTAGGCTCCCCAGCCCTGGATCAGACGCTTTTCAGTTTCTCTGTCCACTGTTCCTCATTCTCCTCAGCACTACAAGGTGAGGCTTTCCCCTGGCTGGTCTCATGAGTGAGGAGGATTGTTTAAGTCACCCAGACACTTGAGGGCATTTGGATACATTTCTTTGTCTCCTTAAATCCTCTTGTTTTTGCCTGAATCATTTCTAAAGTGTCCTAACTTGTGGCCCTTCGGCAATCCTTGGAGTCTAGATCTGTGTGAACAGCGAGGGCACGGGGATAGATGGGGATGTGATGCCCAAGGAACATGAGTCAGTTGTGTGGGCTCAAGCTTATGACTGGATTATGGAAAGAATGTCCCTATTCACCAGTGATGCTTTCTGGATGTGCCCCAATAGCCCATGTGCCCAACAGACTACAGGGTTTATGCCTCCGTTAACACAGGACAAAGGTGATGTTCTCAGCTGGGTCACCCACCGTCACGTGTGTGGCAGTTTAGTATATGTCAACAGTTGCTGAGAATTGCCATGTATGGTGCCTTCCATTCTGGAAGAAGTTGTCATCTTATATGGTGGTCATGTTCCAAATGCATTTCTGGATGCTTTTATTTTGAAACTTGACCATATTTCCCCATCAAAACAAGATCTGAATCCTATCTGTGGCACTGGCACCCTTTTAAGCCCCACACCCCTTCCAGAGAAAGAGGAGTGGAAAGCAGGAAACCTCCCAGGGTAGGATGTAGATTCCAATTCCTCTCACCTTCGGGCTCCTTGAATCTCACCAGCTGCAGGGTGATTCCCTCCTTGGTACCCAGGGAGAAGGCCCTGGTCTCAGCTGCTGTTGTTGCTAAGCAACAAGGAAATTCCACGGTGAAGCTGCAGGGGAAGTCTGGCTTTCATTTCATCATGCCAGCACTGATACCCCTGTTTGGGATCCTGGCACGTCAGGAGTAAATAAGATGAAGGTGCCCCAGTTGGCATCTGAGCATGGAATCCCAGATTCTCTTTTGAGGGAGTCATTTTTCTGAAACTGTGATTTGTTACTGCAAAGTTCCATTACTTAGGGAAAAGCAGTGGCTGAATTATTCATCGAGGTTTGTATTAAAGATCTCTGTCCTCAGCATTGTGTGGGCTGCCATAGGGGGTATGAAAAGTGCTATAAGATACGATTCCTCTTCTCAATTAGCTTACTGTATAATTAGAGGGAACAGAGTCATGAAACAAAGAATAATTATGGATCCAGCTGTGTTGTGTCCCCAGGAATAGGGGATGGAGCATGGAGAGCCTTGTCTGACTGGGCAGCCCTGTGCGGGGCTGGGCAAGCTGTTTTCTTCAAACACACTCCTTCCCCTCCCAAGGTGATCCTCTACTAATTTACTCATTTGCACTTTTTCTCAAATTTGCAGTATAGAAACCACGAGTGGTGGTGAATGTTTATAATCCCAGCGCTGGAAAGTCTAAAGCAGGAGAATCTTAAGTTCAAGTGTATTCTAGGCTACACAGTGAGTTTCAGGCCAGCCTGAACTGCCTAGTGAGACCCTGTCTCAAACAACTAAAATGAAGTATATAAATAGAAATTGAAAATTGCAGTACAGAGACCTGTCTCAGCCCAGCAACATCATGTATGACAATGACTTTGAATGAATGGGGTTCAGATGCTGCATTGATCTCCACTAAAGAAACATTGGTCACTTGTGAGATGGAAGTATCCCTAATCCAGGGCCCAGGAGTGAGTCAGGACAGGGTACAGCATTTTAATAAGAAATCAAAACACATCAACTTCCACCCAAATTTTCCAACCCCTCACCCCTCTTTGAAGGACTGGTGGTGGTATTTTGTGTTGGGTGTTGAAATGTAACATGTTTTCTATACTTGAAACATTGAATTCTTGCAGTACTCAAGCAAAGTTTGCAGCTTGGTATCTACTGCACAGTTGGAAATATCATGGAAACTGTAGCTGCTCTGTGACTCAGCAGGCTTTACATAATCCACAGTCCGTGGGTGCTATCCCTCCCCACCAACCTTTGCTCTACTTTTCCTTTGTCATTGATCCTGAAATTAAAATGGCTGTGTCTTCACTGAATTCTACCTATATCTAGAATTCTGCCCTTGCTTTCAGTATTAACTGGAATCTTGCCTTTGTGTGTGTGTGCTTAAGTTTCTGTGTTTGAAGTTGGCTCCTGGTAAACAGTAAATTAGATGTGCTTTGTTAATTGCATTTCTGCAAGTGGTGGTATATTAATATAACCCTGAGTGAAAAGTATAGGCACATGTACTTTCCTAGACAGGCCTGAGATTCTGTCTTCCCACCTTAAAGAACATCTTAATGCCTTTAAACTCCTTCAAATTGCTCAGTGGTTAAGAGCACTTACTGCTCTTGCAGAGGACCCGGGTTCGAGTCCCAGCACCCACATGGTGACTACAAACCGTCCTTAACTCCAGTTCCAGGGGAATCCGAAGCCCTCTTCTGACCTCTGTGGCATTGCACAACACGGGTGCACTCACATACGTGCATACAGTTCACTCATACACATAAAATAAAAATAATAAATACAATATCGCTGAAAAAACTTTGTAAAAAAAAATCCTTCGAACTTTAAAACTGTCCTCTGAACAGGGGAGATGGCCGTAGCATGCACGTTGTGCAGATGTGACACTCTTTCTGTGTATCCCTAGCACCCACAGAAAAGCCAGGTGCAGTGGCATGTGCCTGTAACCCCGGCACTGGGAATTTGGGGTGCGCAGAAACAGGCGGATCCCTGAAGATCGTTGGCCAGCCTATCTAGCCCAATCAGACTCTAAGTTCAATGGGAGACCCTGTCTTAAAAATAATGTTGAGAGTAATAGAAGAGGGGCGCACAAGCTGACCTCTGATCTCCACATGTACATGTGCACACACATGGACATGTGCACACACGTAGACATGCACACACAATCCTTTGAACACTTTAATGCCAGCATAGTCAGTCCTGGATTTTTCTACTAAAATGATAATTAACAGAAACCCAAGCAGCCCTGGCTGGCCAGCCGGAAGCCCCGCAGAGGCTTACTTTCAGTTGGTCATAGTTCTGTGGCCCCAGGAACTGTCAATTTGCAGTTTCGGTGCTTAAATTTGTGTTATCTTATATTTTATCCAACAAACCCCACATCCTTGTTCTTAAGCAGGAAGAACACTTGGGGGATGAGGGCAGGCAGGTGGCACGTTTAGGGTGGACAGCTTCTTGGAACTGTTGTGGTATTTGGCAGCCTCCTCCTGAGGTGGGAAAAGCCAGCCCTTCTTAGGTTCCTAAATGTATTTATAAAGCTCCTACATGAAAATCATTTCATGCAAATGTAGCTGGAAATAATGAATTCAACTGTACTGGGTGCTAAGCACACTACCACGCCGGGATGAAATACTTAGCGGGTGAACCTTTGGAAACCGGGTTGATTTTTCTTTTGAGAAATGTTCATGGAGAGTCTCACATGCTGTAGAAATTTTAAGGCGAGGATCTTGAGGGAATGGGCGGCTGATTCTCACATTCTGTTCGCAGTGGACCTGCTGGGGCTGCTCAAGTGGAGATCCAACACCAACCTTCTACAGCAGAACTTGAGGCAGCTGATGAAGGTGGACGGTGGTGAGGTGGTGAAGGTAACGTGGGCTGCGGAGGGAAACTTGGCCGTCACTTTTTGTGTGTATTATAATGGATGTGTAGTTTGTGTACATTATAATGGATGGGTGCCACAGGGAGTGCAGGAATCTGGTTATAATGCTGTGTGCTCAGTGTTGCTGGGTTCTTTGGGTAAGGCCATTAGGATTCATCTGGAAGAGGTGAGCTTTGAATCCGCCTGCTCCTGGATGCTGTTTCTCTTCTGATGCGTCCTCACTGTGATGATGACAGCGCTCACTTACTTCCACCATCAGAGCATCGTAGAAAAAGCAGTGCCTTCCCAGGGCTCTTATGGGGATATGGGAGCCTGTATTTGGTCCACAGGATATGTCTCATGTATGCTGGGCTGTTTCACTTTTACCATGCTCATCATTACTACTCTAATCAGGATCATTAGCAATGGCTCATGACCTTCCCAGGACCTCAGAGGTGACCTGGATAGCCAGCTCTGTGCTACAGAGATCATAAACACCAGGGGTCTGTGCTGGTCATGTCCTGCCTCATGGCCTTGAAGCTCACTTCCTGGCCTCTCACATCAGCTCTGGAGTGTTAACGTTGTATAGTCATACCCTCTCAGCTCCGTGTCTTGACCTGTGACACAAGGTAGTGATCTGAGTCTCCTTTGAGGACCAAATTTTGGCCCTCTGATTCTCTACTAGTTTGTGGTTCTGAAATGCCCTCAAGTGCTGGGCCCTTCATTTCTCTCATGGATGACATAAGGTGCTTGAATGACTGTCCCTTGCCTGTGAGGAAATGCATTACAATTTTCAGAGCGACCCCTCTGGGCAGAGGACGCTAAGCTGACCATGACCTGTGGTGTTTCATAAACAATGTCTCTACTGCCTGTTCTGTGTTCACCCTCTGTGAGAGGAGCTTGCAGTAGGAGATGCCTTATCGATGTAAAATTAATTACTTAAAATGGCCTTAATTAACCAGCAGTGTGCTTAACTTCAGCATGAATTAATTTGGTTGCACTGCTTTCCCACATCCGTCGTGAAACCACTCGCACATACCCTCGCTAATCTTAGAATTTTAATCGTCTCTATGGTCCTGGTCTTCTACCGATGGCTTGGACAATGTTAATTGCATTTTAAACTTCCTTGGCTTCTATAAATCCCCAGTTCAGATGGAAAGTGGATGGATAAGAGAACGTACTTTAGAAGACAGGCAGTTAATGAAATTTTGTCCTCCTTCAATTTGAAGTCCCCGTGTCACGTGACAGATTTGTTGCTTCTCTTGACTTGGTGTCACACTTAACCAGGAAACATCTAGAATCATCTTGTCCTCGTCCCATCCCCCATCTCTTACATATTGTCATCCATTGCTGGAAGTGGCTTCCCATCTCTCCCTCCTTCCTGTGAACGCTGATTCCCCTGACTAGAATGGGGTGACACCCCCTGCACCTTTCCTAGTGTGCTTGACCTTTTCTTTTCCTGACTCTGGTGTTCCCTACCCACATTTGTGCCTGGAGAGATGAACTGACCTGTCTAAGTCACGTGGCTTTTAATGGCCAGCGGGGCTTGAGGATCCTCTGGTTTCATGGGGGCTCTTTCTATCTTATTTCAGGACACTGATAGATTGTGGAATGTATTCTGTTTAGTTCATGACTCCCTTGTGTGTTTGGGTAACTGGTAGTAGAGGCATGGTGCTAGCTGATGGATTAGGAAAGGAATTTGCACGTGTAGTGAGAGAAGTGGTTTCCCATGAAGTTGGTGGTTTGGTCCTTTAGTGGATAGCTGGGGGTGGGTGTGGGGAGGCAGGGAGCGGGAGATGGATGAATCTGAGCAACATGCTTTTGGTTATGTGTGGGGATTCTGTTCAGATGCTCATCCCTGACCAGCAGGTGCTGTAGCCAGAGATGGAGGCTCTGCCCTCTCCAGATCTGACCCTGGGCTGCTGACCATATCATGTGTCTGGGTGACGCTGGTAGGCCTGCTGTAGGGACTTTTTGTGAACTGTGATGAGCCAGGGCTTGGCACCTGGGGTGCCTGTTGGCAGAGATGTTGGACTGTTAGCAGATGGCCTGAAGTTTTGAGCTTTGGAAGATTTATAATCTGAAAATGATGGGAAACGCTACAAAGGTAACGGCGTGGTGCAGACCCAGGTCATCATGGAATTGACTAAGCTCTTGTCTTTTCCAGATGACAAACCCTCATGGAAAGGGTGGTTTTAGTCTCTGCCATTTGTATGTGCCATTCTCTCTGTTCACTGGGGCTGGGTGGCACAGTGGCATGCAGTGGGGCATTCGTGCCATCAGGGAGTACACATGGCACTGGGGATTGATGCCTCACCTGTACATCTCTCCTTTTAAAAATATTTTATTATTTTTATTTTCTGCATATGAGTGTATTGATTGTATGCATGTAAATGCATCTGTGTCATGCAGTGCCCATGGAGGTCAGAAGAGGGATGGCAGATCCCTTGGAACTGGAGTTACAGACAGTTGTTTATCACCATGTGGGTGCTGGGAATTGAACCCAGGTCCTTTGTAAGAGCAGCCAGTGCTCTTAACCACTGAACCATCTCTCCAGCCCAACCTCAACTGCACTTATTTTGCTGTGTTACAAGGAGAGCCCTGGGCTTTGCAGCTGTCTCCAGGCCTCATAGCATACCATGTTGGTGGCTGTGGGCACCGGAACTGCTGAGAACAGGTTCCCATGGCATGCTTCCTCGAATGCAGGGCCTTTGGGTGTTGTGTGTAGCTTGCTAGGGTATTTATAGAGTTATATAATCCTCACAACTATTTAATTTCAGGACATTTTCTTCATCCCCAAAAGAAACTCAAACCTATCGCCATCGTGTCCCCCAGTCTCTTCATTTGCCTGTCCCGGCCAGTTCACACGATAGAATCATGTGTAGTGTGGCCATCTGAATCTGGCTTCCTTCACTGGTTGCAGCTCACACACTTAGCGATGCATTGGGAGTTCATGTCTGGTCATAGGAGGTTCAGTGAGCAGATAGAACACAGTCACACTTTTGTATGTAATCACCCGTTTGTTGATGAACACTTGTTTCATGCACATACATTTTTTAAAAAATGTGAATAATGCAGCTTTAGATATTTGTGCGCACGTTTTTGCGTGTGCATTTTTCTCTCCTCGGGATGTGTGTCTAGGAACACCACTGTTGACTTGTGGGGTGCGTCTGTGCTGAAGTTTCGGGGGACTGTCAACATTGCCCTGTTGTGTATCTCTTTCCGCTTTTAAACTTTTTAAACATTTTGTTATTTTTATTTTATACGTATGAGTGTTTTGCCTGCATGTGTGTAAGCGCATCCGTGTTGTGCAGTGTCCACGGAGGTTAGAGAAGATGTCAGATCTCCTGGGACTGGAGTTATGGACAGTGGTTAGCCAACACGTGGGTGCTGGGAACTGAACCCGGGTTCTCTGCGAGAGCAGCCAGTGCTCCTAACCACTGAGCCACCTGTCCTGCCCCTTTCTGTATTCCTACCAGCAGCGCCTGCTCGGGGGTTCTGCTTCCTCTCATTCTCTTCCCCGCTTACTGTCCATCTTTTCGATGATAGCCTCTTCAGTGGGTGAGATGTGAGAGGCTGTGTGGTTTCAGTTTGCAGGTTCCTAGTGGCTAATGAGGCATCTGTATGTCATTCCTCTATGGTCAACAGTCTATCCACTTCCTCCTGGACTTCGCCACGACCCGACATCTCCTACTTCAGTACAGTCCGTTCCAGCCCGTCTTACACCTTCTTCAGGGTGTGAGGTTTGACAACTTACAGGATGACTTGCCTTTGAAGTCTGATGTTTTTCTCAATGAAATTAATGATGCTTTGCCATCCTAGAGGGCCATATTTATTTGGTTTCGGAGACTGTAAGAATAGTTTATATCTATTAATAGTACTGCATACGTATTTTCTGGCGCACTGCTGTGCACCGTACCTTCAGGAACACACGGTTCTTGCCTTCTTGGAGGATCCGTCGGTAGAAGGCCCTACACCTTTCTCAGCTCTACCCCAGCCCTGCGGCTTCTGCCTGCCCCTCATGGCCTGGAGCTCTCTGCACTTGGCGTGTGTAGACGAATCAGATCTCTCCTGGTAGAGAGGCAGGTGTTTGGGAAGGTCCTCTGGGTTGAGTGGGGCAGCATAAAGCATCTCCCAGCTCTGGTACCCTGGTGCTTGACACAGGGTGATCGGAATTTTTTTTTGGAATTCGGTCATGTGAAATTTTTGCGTCAATCATATGAATAAAATCTTGGAAGTTAGTAGTTTTATTTATTCATGGATATATTGAGACAGGATCTTACACTCTAACCCAGGCCAGCCTAGAACTTGCTATGTAGCCTAGGTAATCCTCTTGTCTGAGCTTCCTCCTCGGTTCTGGGATTACAGGTGTGCACCATGATGCCTGGCTAGAAGTTAGTGGCTCTGTACACAGGACTGGGGAAAGGTTAGGAGGCGGAGTCTTGCTGGAAATCAGCTGTTCCAGGCTGGGGGAGGTGAGGTGTACCGACTTTGTCACTGACCTCTTTTGTCTGTGCAGTTCCTACAGGACACCTTGGATGCTCTCTTCAACATCATGATGGAGAACTCGGAGAGTGAGACGTTTGATACGCTGGTGTTTGATGCGCTGGTAAGGGCCTCCTTTCATCTTTGTGAGACCGAGGTGCTCTTTCAAGCTGCAGCCTTTGAAGGGAGAGGGGACCCATGCCAGTCACCTTGAAAGCCTTTCAGTCATGGAGTCAATCAAAGGGGAAGCATAGAGGAGTGGAAATATTGCTCTAATGTGAAACTATAGTTATGCTAATATCATTCCTAGCTTAGGAAAATGTAGACCAGACATTGGCTCTCTGCTTGGACCCAGCCTGGTTCATGTTGTCGGGGACTGCTGCAAGTTGGTCAGATGAAGATTCCAGAACAGTTTTCCCTGTGCCACTCATGAGAATATTATTGATTCCATTGACAGGTCTTTATCATTGGACTGATTGCTGATAGGAAATTTCAGCATTTTAATCCTGTTTTGGAAACCTACATTAAGAAGCACTTCAGTGCCACCTTAGCATACACGTGAGTTCTTTTGCGTTATTTGAAAACCAGTGCTGCTTTTCTTCCCCCTGGAATGTTTGACACTTAGAGTCCGTTTCATCTGTGACTTTTGTCTATGACTTTGCATTTCTTTCCTCAAAACTCCAGATTTACTGGAATAATTTTTACTATTGTTTCCATCCTAACAGATCTGAAAATCTTGTTGAGAGAGATATGATAAACTACCCTAACATTCTAGAGTAAATTCCTGCTCTTCCATGCCTTCCATTTATCTTAGGAACTTTCAGTTTATGTGCAATGAAGCTGATGTATGGACGCAGGCCGCCTGTCAGGCCGCAGCATCCCAACAAGCATCTGATGAATGAATAAATGGATGTGTTCCTGTTCTGAGGTTATTGGTCCTTGAGTGTACATAAAATGCGGTTTTATATTCTTCAGCGAGCCTCTTGGCTCCTTAAAATGTGTCTTCCCTCTCTTTCTGCACAAGCTTTAGCTATTACCCAAATTAGAGTTGTTGCTGCTCATTTGGAACACTTGATTCCCCCCCCCCCCCGTACTCCAGACGTAGCTCATCTTGTATTTGGTAGCGCAGTCCTAGAACCAAGCTCCATGGGCCTAAGTGACAGCTCTGTCCTTTATGAGCTGTGTGATCTTGGGCAAGTTGCTTAACCTCTCTGGCCTTCAGTCCTCTTGTCTATAAAAAAGAACATGACTGTAGTCTTGTTTGAGAATTTTAATAAGTCATTAGAGTGCTCAGAATAACCCCTGATGCTTCAAAAGCACCTAGCAGGGCTGGACCATCCTTTCCTACATGTCACTTGCTCTTTCATGATGGGATTTAATGACATTTATTCAAATTTTGTTTTGTGTAAATTGTATTGAAAAAAAATTGCATCATTTCTTTAAGAATGCCCAACTAGAAATTAGAAACCAATCTATCCTTTAGAGTTTGTAATTTGAGTCCAGGCTCCTGTCTGTTTTTGAGTTGACTTGAGAAAAAAAAAAAAAAAAAAAAAAAGGCCTGTTTGCTTTGCAGCTGTGAACTCAAGGTCTGGGGATGCCAGATCGTGAAGCCAGTTGGTGGCACAGCCCAGTCCTGTGCTGTAAATCCTTCCCTGTCCCATTCTGTGTGTTTATGACAGGTGTCTATGACAGGTGGTGGGTGGAGTCCCTGGTGGGGTGAGAGGATCTCCTCGTGCTTATGAAGCCAGCTGGGACAAGACTTTTATTAGTCTTTTCTAATAAATGTTTGTTTAAAGCTCTCTGTTTGCTCAGTGGAGATACCTAGTAGGTTGGCATGTTGGGGGAAAGGACTTCTCGGGGCACTTCCTTGCCCTAGTGGCCAAGTATGGCTGTCAGGATTTGTGGGCATGGTCTGGAGATATCTGTGCACCTGGGAGGGTCTCCGTTGTGGCTGATTTCAGAGTTCTTCTTTCAAGCTTGACTCCCTGGTGGTTTTCAGAGTGGCCTTTCTACTCTAACTTGAGTCCAGAGCAGTACTGAATTCTTCAGGAGTATTACCTGCATGGTGTGGACCTCAGCTGAGCTGTGCTGGGCTGCTGAGAAGGACCTGTGTCCTCACTGGTGGGAAAATGGAAATGGAGGGTGTGACAGCCGATCCTGGGTGTCAACCTGATGGATCTTGGGTTAACCGAAATGAGAGAGATCTTCTTGATTGGATCATCTGAAGCTACAAGACACACCCTAAATGTGGGTGTTACTTTCTGATGGCAGCCCCTATAAAAGGCCACGGCAGAGGAGAACGCCAGGCTTCTTGCTGCTTGCCTTCTCTCTCCCTGGTGAGTCCGTCTTGCTGCTGTGGACTGAAGAGTAGCTGATCTTTTGGAATTCATCAGGCCTCCAGCACCAGATTGGGACTACTGAGACATCTAGCCTCGTGGACTGAGCGACTACGGAGTCTCAGCCTCTCTAGTGTGGTGCAGCCATTGTTGGACTACTCGGACTCTATCCTGTAAGCTAAGCTGATAAATCTTTATACATATTCATCCTACCGGTTCTGTTTCTTTGGAGAACCCTGACTAACACAGATTGTGGTACCAGGAGTGGCTCTAGAGAAACAGCATTGAAAGGATGAATTTCTTTAATGGGCTTGTTGGTATTTGGAGCAGGCTCTCCAACTCAGAGTCTTCAGATAGCATGGAGAGCACTGAAAATCCATGGTGTAGACTATTTGAAACAATTATGGAGATAGACTCATTTGAATCTCCTAACTCACCTCTTGTGAAGAGCAAGAAATTTAGTGACTCTATACATAAAACATGTGACAATTTGTGGAAAAATAAGAAAAATAATGATGCTGGCTGGTTACTTCTTGCATCTCTGGGTAAAGTGATGAAGATAAACAATGATAAAATTGACAAGCTCCAGATTCGAATCAACAGGTTAAAAGTTTCCAAGTGTGCTCTGGAAGAGAATCTTCTCTCCAGCAGCCAGAGAGCTAAAGCTGCAGAAAATCAAGCTGGAGCCCTTCTTATACATTTGGTTGACCTACAACGCAAATTTAATTCCCAGCCTCGAAGGGTGTCAGCAGTAAAGGTGAGGGCGATGGTAGGAAAAGATTGGAATCCTGACACGTGGGATGGAGACATGTGGGAGAACCCTGAGGAGGCTGAGGATTTAGAATCCTCAGACTCTGAGGAATTTGCTTCACCTGATGAATTAATCTTCCCACCCTCAGCAAACCCACTCTTCCCACCCTTGCCTGAGGAAACTAATTCCATTGAGGAAACTAATCCCATTCAGCAAGACAGCTGATATTCCTCAGGGCCCAGTTGTTGTTGCCTCTAGACCTATAACCACACTCAAAGCTAAGCAGGCCCCTGGAGGAGAGATAGAAAGTGTGGTCCATGAGGAGGTGCGCTGTACCACTAAAGAACTTTGTGAATTTGCTAATTCATTCAAACAGAAATCTAATGAATATGTCTGGGAATGGATTTTAAGAGTATGGGATAATGGTGGAAGGAACATAAAATTGGATCAGGCTGAGTTTATTGACATGGGCCCCCTGACTGGAAATTCTAGGTTTAATATGGAAGCTCATGCAGTTAGAAAAGGTGTTAAAAGTTTATTTGATTGGTTGGCTGAGGTATTTATCAAAAGATGGCCTACTGACAGAGAGCTGGAGATACCTGATATCCCTTGGCTTAGTGCTGATGAAGGGATTGTAAGGCTCAGGCAAATTGGTATGCTCGAGTGGATTCGCAGTGCAACACCAAATCCTCCACAATGGGAGGGCCCAGAGGACATGCCTTTTACTGATTTTATAAGATGGAAAGTACTGAGAGAGACACCAGAACGTTTGAAGAGCTTTGTTTTCGCTCTTTTCCTTATGCCGAATCTTACAGTTGGAGATACTGCTGCTCAATCGCATAAATTAAATGTAAATACAATAGGTGTGACAGGACCTCGGAGTAGGGGTCAGGTGGGAGTACTGAATTACCAAAGACAAGGTGAGCGTACTTAAAGGCAAAACAATACCTACAATGGCATGACTCGAAAGGAACTGTGGTACTGGCTAATCAATCATGGTGTTTCCAGGGACCACA